AACTCATTTTTTAATAAATTTCATAAAACACTTGTAGAAAGCAAGAAACAATGCCGGCACTAAAGTTGTTTACATCAATGCTATCGATTACATCGATTAGACCATAGAGTAAGTAAAATAATTTTATTATATCTTATTTTACTTTATCTATGGATTAGACGCCTTGTCACTCGTAACCTTGAAATTGGAAACTACGCCATAAACTCTCCCAGCCCTCCAGGCGATATTCTGTACATTAAATCACTTGACTTAACTGGAAACTGTCCTGTACTCGTCATATTGATGTCTGTTTGGCGTGTGCGAAGCAAGGTGGCGTAACCCTCAGACCAAAAACTTGGTTCCGCGCAAGTCAATATAAGTGAGCCCCCCATACTTGTCTTTATCTATGTATGGACCCAAATGGTTCCTTGATAAGATGATTTTGCGATGAGAATCGTAATATTTCTCACTTTTGCAACGATGCCAGTGTTTCCAGCTTCTTAAACTGCGTTTCAATAAACGCAGTTTGTGAAACGTACCGAAGCACTGGTGAAAACGGTCCGTCGTTAAACGCGTTTAATTTCGGCGTTTAAATAAACTTAGTTTTGTCAAACTGCGTTTCGCTTGTTTCTGATGAAAATGGGCCAAAGACAAAAAGCCTTAAATGGCTATGTCTGCGTTAAACATCACGTCACGTATTGAACCATGGTTGAACCCATTCTGAACCCATTATACAATGAATACAAGGTAGGATATTAATCGGTCGAAAACTAGATTTTCGTGTGCACATGACGTCACTGGTTAGCATTTTGGTAAAATGAACAGCTGATCCCATTTAAAATACATGTAACTAGACAGATTTTCATTGATAAAGTAGTAAAATAGTCATAAAACGCAATAGTTCAAAAGTGGAAAGTTATATGAGTAAATGGTTTGCATTGTTGTATAGCTCAATGCTTTCGAAATCGCGTTTGGGACCTGATTTGGGCTTATTGCGAAGAAAAATACCCTAAAAATATATTTACAAAATCTCTGATTTTCAGCGTTTTAGCGTGCTGTATTGCCAGAGTGTCATTCGTAAAATCGGGTAGAGCCAAACGAAACAATTAATTCATTGTATCATTCATTGAATGAATGAATTCATGAATTCATTGAATCATGGGGTGAATGCGTTTGGGCGTGTTTGGGAATCTTGTAGACACAACTGAGCATTTTGCGCTTTGGTAGTTTGAAAGTTTACTGTAGAAAGTGTGCAACCTATGGGAGAATGCTTGTTGTCGTGCGGATACGAATATGCCCTCACCATTTAAAAAATTATGATTATGAGAGGAATTTGCAATTCGAACTTTTGGGGTACTTGCCAAAAGCAAACGCGATACTTTATTGCACATCTGGCAACTATGCTGGTCTACAAAATAAATAAATGTTTGTTACTTTTCATTTTCAAGTTTGAAACCTGCTGCAAAGCATTTTGTAATTACAAAGAAGATTTATTAAAAAATAATTAAATTTGACAAAGACTAAATAAGCCATATTAAACTTCGCTTCACTTCGCCCACTGCCTCATCGCCTTTGATAATGTCCACCGCAGTTGTGGACGAAACGTCAGGAAGAAATTGAAAGCCCGGAAAACATTTCTTAATGTGATTTTTTCTATACTCCCTAAGCACTTCCCCAGACAATACCTCCAGAGGAATAACGCCAATTTTCAATCACCCTAGGGCACTACACAGCTGTATAGTGTAAACGAACTTGTACTTTTGACTGAATATTGGTTTATAATAGGGCTCGGAATCAAACTCGAATAATTCGAATATTCGAAAAGCGAATAACTATGTGTAGTCATAACTCGAATAATCGAATACTCGAATACACCAACATTATCAAACTCACAAGGTGCAAATATCTTTATATGCACTTTGTATACTTTTATAAAATAAATTATTCATATTCTACAAGCATTTAAACAAATACCCATATATTTACAAGCAAATGAAAATAATCATACAGAGACAACTTGTCTCTGTAATCATATTTACTCTCCTGCAAATGAATGTAAAATTACGTCTCTGTGTTCTGGTGATACGCGTTATCAACTTTTGCGCGGTGTTACAATTAATGTGCCGACAAAGACACTTTTTTATCCGTTGCGGCTAGTTGCTAAAAATGATATGAGATAACGAGTTTTCTTCTATGAAAACGATGAACGGAAAACGAACACTCGAATATCTAACGAATACGAATAGAAATACTCGAATATTCGAATACTCGAATATTCGAATACTCGAATATTCGAATACTCGATTATTCGAATATTCGTTAGATATTCGAGTATTCGAATAATTTTACTATTCGAATAAACCACTAAACGAATATTCGAATATCAGATTTAAAAAAATTCCGAGCCCTAGTTTATAATCGGCGAAAGGTGGATTATAGGCCTAACGGTCACCACGCAGTTTAGCCCGTTGGGCCTACTATGAGAGGCTGTAGTTCTATCAGGACCCACATTTGAAAACGCAAGCCGCACATATGCTTTAGTTCAGTTTCATATACACATTTGCTTTGTGCGTGTTTTTTTAATTGTTTTTATTTCAACTCTAATGAAATGCGTGAAAATATCAATGCATCTAGATGAATTACGTTTCATTAATTAAAATAAAAACGAATATTAACCAAAAGTGTTCGCTACGAACAGCCCGAGCGCACGTATGTGTGCGTCGTGTCCAGACTAGAGATTCGAGGTTAGAGGCGTGCCCCTGCGTGGAAATACGTCAATATCAGCTGGGACTCGTCTTTATCTATGTCTTTATCTATGACCACTGTCACTGCTTGCTCCGTTTGAAGGGTGTAAAATAAATACCGCTAATACTGAAAACCACTGAAAAGCGACGTTAAACAGCTTAATTTTGACCACACCATGGAAGACGACATGGAGAAATTCGAAATCACGGACTACGATCTGGAAAACGAATTCAACATCAACAGGCCCCGTAAGGGCCTGAGTAAACAGCAACAAATCTATGGTAACCCTCTCATTTTCCAATCATCACCTCGGGGCGATTGCGGCCCCCTAAAGACACTGCCCCAATGTAGGGGCCGTTTGTGTAATACAGATCCTGAAAAATCCATGTAATTTGTACAGGAATATGGGCGGACGATAGTGACGATGAGCCGGAAACCAAGAAAACCCACAGGAACAGCAACAAGCCGAAGAACTATTCAGCCCCCATTGGGTTTGTAACTGGCGGCGTGCAGCAAGCCGGTAAGAAGACCAAGCAACCAGAAGTAAAGCATGAGTCTGAGGATGAACATAAGCCGGGCACCTCGTTCCGCGTTCAGCACAGCTCAGAGTCCGAAGAAGAAGCCCCAAGAATAGGTAAGGTAAAGCCATAGAGAAAGTAAAATAAGAGAGGTGGCGGTATAATGTTAAAACTTGGAACCGCGTTGCGCTACAACCGGCTGACCGTCAATAACGGGAAGCTTTGACGGTAAAAACAGGTATCTAGATTATCGGCTAGTTAGAAGCGGGAATTTTAAATTTTTAAAGGTACAAAATACTCAGGGTACCCAAATTTCGGCGTCTACACATGTTCTCTCGGTTATTAATGGTAATAGAAAATGTGCTGTTTACTCAACAGGGTGCAAACAAATTCCTATTTCCATTAATAATGAACCGAGACTACAATGTGTAAGGACATCGAAATTGTAACACTCAGAACGCAATTTTGATCCAGATTTAAGGGGATCCATGACAGGGAATGAAATAATATATATCTAAATCAAAATAAAATAACATTTATTAAGTAAAAAAACACAAATTGTCTTCCAAAGAGTCCCAAAAGGATGAACTGGGTAGCTAAACTTGTGCCCTA